GGGGGGGGGGGGGGGGGGATTGCGGAGGGGTGCACGGCCGGCGGCATGTGGGGACGGTCGCGGGCGTGCGGCTGCCGCCCCTTTCGAGGGCTGCCCCCTGGCGAGGGTTGGCCTCTGGGGGGGCGGCGACGCGGCAGATCAACCGCTCCGCGGCGGCCTCGAAAGGCATGCCCCTCCATCTCAAAGAAACAAACAAATGTATACTCACCTGATTTTTGAACAGCCCTGTGAGAATCTGCGTTTGCCAGTCCGCGATGGCTCATCGATATCGGCTCATACCAATGTCAGTTGCGCCGGCAGGCGCGCGGCCCGGGGGTCATGTCGGCCCGCAGTTGACCCCCTGGGCCCGGGCCGCCCAGAGCCTGGCCACCTGCAGGCCGGATCCATCCCACCCGCACCATGCATCCTGAAAACCGCGGATCACGACGCGAATCAGTCAGTTTCTCCCTGCCCCTTCCCCTCCCAAAGACTTCAAACGCAAACCGACACCCCCGCCGGCCCCCTCAGAAAAGCAATGGAACAATAGACAAAGCACTCGCGCGATCCCTCTTACCAGGTGCGCTACACGACGTTTTCCAAGAAGCCTGTGGGCCCGCAGGAGGTCGGCGCGCGCGGCGCGGGCGGCAGCGTCGCGCGGCCGGGCGCGGGGGGCGCCAGGAAGATTGGGCCCAACGACAAGGTGCACCCCCGGGGGGGGGGGGAGGGGGCGGGGCGCTGCGTCGAGGCTTGTGAAACCTCGCGCCCAAATGCGGCTGCGAGTCGGCGTCATAACTTGCAGAGACTTCATGGCATGATAGGTCACTGGGTTTGACCTGGACTTCCCATCCATGCAGGTTGGAAACAGGGCGCCCCGTTTCCTACCTTCAAATTTAGCGATGATGTTTACAATGCCAACACATCTGGAAATCGATCTCATTTACATTTTGTATGCATCTGCAATAGACACCCATCTTTATCGCATGCCTTCCATGTTTGCAATCCAGCCATCTTATTCTGAAAGCACCCACCGGGCCAACCCAACCCGCCGCAGGGCATCCTGACGGTCACTCTGGTGCGGGCGACGGCGCTCGGCGGCTGGACGGGCGAGCCCGAGTGAGTGCTGCCGGCGTGTGCATGTATGTGCACACCCAAGGGACCTGTGGGGAAACTTACGGGCTTTAAGCAAGTAACAAGTGTGTGGAATTGTGTGTGTGTGTACATACGAGTCTATGCAGAGGAGCCGAAGGCATGCGTGTGTATATGTGTGTGTGTGTGTTTTTGCGTGTCTATGCGTGTTTGCGTGCACGTGCGAACAGGTGCGTGCTCACGCGTGCGCGTGTGTGAATGAGAGTGTTGGCATCATGCACGTTCACGGATGAGAGGTAGGGGGTAGCAGGGTGTGCCAAGCCGAGGGTCGCTGCTTCTCGATGGCGGCGTGGCACACTCATGCAATGCGCCCAGACGTACCCGTAATTCAGGTCTGCACCACCCCTCCCCACACACACACACATGTTCACGCACACGGACGCACACGCGCGCGAACACACACACACACGCGCGCACGCACGCATGCGCACACGCTCGCAAGCGCTCGCACGCAGGTACGCGCGCACACACACACACACACACACACACACACACACACACGTGTGCGCGCACACACCCTCAACCCTGCAGCCCCTACGTGGAGCTCACCCTGTACGGCGCAGGCGGCGACGCCTCCGCCGGCCAGCCGGGCGCGCGCAACGCCAAGGGCGGCTTCGCGGCGGCGCAGCACCGACAGGCGAGCCGCGAGGCCCGCCCCCTTTGCACCGCTGACGCCTCCCTCATGCTTGCGGACTCAGTCCTGGCCCCTTTCTGCCCCTTCCACCCCCGCAGCCGCGCACCCCACTCAGCAGCTTCCTGTTTTTTGGCCGAGCAGGCCTCTTGCCTGCTGCCCCACGTCCACCCTGCCAGCGTGCTCCTTGGGGTCCGCCATCAGGGCTTGATGCACATCAAGTTTGAGCGGCGTGGCATACGGTCGGGCCCTCTTCGAATCCCACTGTCTCCTTGACCCTGCTGCTTGCATGCATCATCTGACCACATTTCATTAACCCCGTTGACCAAACGTCTTCAGGTGTCCAACACCATCTGGAACGAGGCCAACCCGAGGTGCGTTGCAGGGGTCTGAGCCAGCTGCCGAGGAGGCATGCGCGGCACTGCGGGGTCAGGGGTCAGGGATTGAAGGTTGGGGGTTGGGGGCGATATGATGCGAGGAGTCTGGGAGGAGATGGCAAGGGACCAACGTTGTGCAATTTGACAAGCTGCTGCCTCGCAAATATGCCTCTGCCGACCTGCCTTGCCACTTAGTCCGCTTACCAAGACACTGCATATGGAAACGCACACGCCAGGACGCGCAGTGTGTGTGCTCACAATGTGGGCCCCGCTCCTGTTCGTACGCCCTCCTGCCTCCTCATACAAACAAGCTTCCTGCTCGCCTCCTGCCTCCACGCACAACGAAAACATTCCCTGCGGTCATTGCGCACACAATGGTCAAACTCAGGTTCAACGAGAAGTTTGACTTTGCCATGATCCCTGCGGGGGCCGTGCTGCTGGCCACCGTGAAGGACCGGACCTCCACCTTTGAGAAGATAGCCAGCCTCAAGATTACGGTGGGCTGCTTTTTTGGGGCGGCTCTTGGAGGGATGTTTTCGGGGCGGCAGTCAGGTTGGCTTGTGGGGCAGCGTGCAGGGCGGGGTTGGGGTGGGATGCTTGTGGCGGCGTCGTTTTGGGCGGGTTCCACAAGGCAGGTTTTGCCAGGGAGAGTGTGCGTGCGTGCAGGGGCTTCGGGGCAGGTTACCACGGGGGTGGTGCGGATAGACTGCAAGGACAGTGGACGGGGCGCGTGGCTGATGGATTAAGGGATTGCCGACGCATCACATTTTGTGATAGGCGCAGTCAGATCACTCAGGACACACTGTACAGAGCAAACTCACTTTCAAGCTGACACCCCTTGAGAATGACACGAAAACTACGGCAGGGAGCGTCAGCAAATAACTCTAGGTCCAATTAGGATATTGCTGTGCGCCTCCCACCCCCACACAGGACCGCTTCAAGTCCGTCACCCTGGGACGCGTGAAGGTCCCGCTGATGGAGGTGGCGGCCGCCGGGCGGCTGCGCGGCAGCTGGCCGCTGCAGGGGGCGCTGGAGGGGCAGCTGGAGATGGTGCTGGAGTGGATCGACGCGGGGGAGGCGGACCTGACGCAGGATTGATTGACCGGCGTTGACCGGCGTTGACTGGTGTTTGACTGGGACGCAAGCGATGCCGAGAGACCGCGCGGACCTGCAGGATGCCTATGCTGACCGAGTGGTGTCTGCAGTTGGCCTGCCACCTACGGCAGGGGAAAATCCCTGCCTGTGCATTTGGCATGAACGGTGCAAGCAGGTTGCACTGCAAACCCCAAGCCGTTTCCGTTCCTGGGACCATTGTTGCAAAGGGGTTTGATTTTTGTTTGGTTGGGAGTTGTTGCGATGAGGCAGGGCTGGCTGCGGCATCCACTCAACCTGCCGGGCCTAGGCGGAGCAGCTGCGGAGCTGACATTGCAGATTGGCGACGCATGTACTTTAGAGAAGTTGATGTCACAGCCATGCTCGAATGTGGGCTTAATGATGGCGTGCTTAGGGTAGTAGAGATTGAGCGGTTGCGGGATTGCCATTTACTGCCTCTCTGGCGTGCTCGTTTAATTTTGTTTTGAGTTGATTTTGTTGGCCCCCGCAGAGGAGCCTCATTCAGGATCACCACGTCATACTGCAGAGCGGTTGCCCCACAGGCCCGGCTCTCACGATGTTGCTCCGGCACACCATGCACCGACGGCTGCTTTGCGGCACGACCCGTAAAGCGTAAAGGCAACACTGTCTGAGCTGAACGTGGTGGGCGCCGCTGCTGTTAGCCTACGTCTGTGGTATCAATGTATCTGATGCAGCTTGCATTTTCAATCGGAGAAATGGGCAGAGACAAGGGCCTCGCGACTGACTTGCCTGCCGCACCAACCCTCACCCTGCCTTTCCAACGGTGCTCTCCTGCATTCTGGTGGCCACATTCCCACTAGCCTGCATGTGAATCAATCGTGTAACATGCCGGCCGTGTCCCTGAGTCAATGCCTGCAGGAATGCCGGCCGCTTGAAACAACAGACGGCCAGCGCCTCTATGTCACGACGCAAAGGCGGGGCGCGCGTGCATCACAGCGAATGTTTGCATCACCTCAGAGGACACAATACGCACGCACTTTATGTCCCTGCCTGCGCCATCCTGCACCAGCCCTAGCAGCCTGCCATGCCTGTTCACGACGGGCCCGCCCGACCAGCCCTCGCCTGCGTGAGCGGCCACGTACCAGGCGCATGGCTCCGCGGCGGCCACAACGCCGCGATCAATGCCGACTCGCGCGGACCCAGGCATGCAGCCCAGCGTATATGCTATGTCGCACCGCGCCGCGATCGCAGCCGCCAGTGGCTTGTCGCTGGCCCGCGACCCCCTCAACAGCAGCAGGTCAAAGCCTGGCACGGGTGGCACCTCGACGCTCACGTGCTCCTGCGAGCCGTCCTGGTACACAGCCACAAAACGAGGTGACGCCGCTGCTGTTCGCATCCTTTCCAAACTGCAGCGCGTGGCCCACTGTCCATATCAGCGGCTGCGGTGCATGCAAGATCCCCGAGAACTCGCCCAAGGGCTGGTCCGCATCATCTCTGCCATACAGCTTAACCACGTATGGCTCGGTGCGGGCGAGGATGTCCCTGTCCAGCTCTTCCTGCCAGCTGCAAAGCTCTTGAGGATCAACGCTGGCCTCCAAACCGACATGCAGCCTTCTCGAGCTCGAAGACGCAGCCATACCGTAGGGCAATATGAATGCAACACGACGCGTTCGCGACGCGTAGCCGACAACGCAGGTGACTCCGCCGGGAGGCACTGATCGAAGGTCACGTGATCTGCTCGCTCTGGCGTAGATAGGCCGCGTATTTGACTTCAAATATTGTTTCGGCGCTTTTCTAGCGCGGAAGGGGTGGGTAGGAGGCGTGTTGTGGACGGGCGACTACGTGTCCCCCCCCTGCCTGCATGTTGGGTGTGACGAGCGCGGTTGCTGGGGGCTCCTACGGCGCAGGCACAGGCGCGCTGCTCACGCCCTCCGTATCTCTGCTGGGGTCGCCTTTGCTGTTTTTAGAGGCGCTCCCAAGCCGTGTGTGCGCGCGTGTGTGCGCCGCATACGCGCGCGCACACACGCACAAAACCCCACTCGGATGCTCAGCTGTGGGGACGCACGGCTCGACGCTGCGCCGCCGACTGTCGGTGCGTGCAACTTCCTTGCAGTGCACATTCCCTGGGTGGTCGCGCTGACATCAGGCATCTGGACGCCGCCGGAAAGCCTGCGGCAGCGTTGGCTGGGACGGTTCAACGCGGCCGAGACTGAATTCCCCTGCACCGCCTGGCTGCCATGCGGCGGCGCCGCCCCGCGTGACTGGCACGCAGTGGCAGTGCAGGCTACGTCATGCTGGTGTGCGTGTTCCTTGTCCTGGTATGCCCGACCCCACGCACCCCCGTCTCACAACGCGCGGGCGGCAGCAGCGGTCGCTGCGGTGCCGGCGAGAGCGGCAGCGCAGCCGCTGCGTCGGCCAGCTGGCGCTGCAGATGAATAGGGGCAATCGAATGAAGGCTCTCCCGCCAAAAATGAGGGGCTCTCTGTGGAAGAGCGGGCCCTGCGCCGCAGAGCGCTACATGGGGCGCCTGCAGCTCTTACCGCGCCCCAGATAGAGGACCCCCGGGCTGCACGCGTGCAGGCGGTGGCGCAGCAGCACCACTATCGCGAGCAGCAGTGGCGGCGGCGGCAGCCGCAGCAGCTGCCGCAGCTGCAGCCCCAGCGGCAGCGGCAGCAGCAGCCGCAGCGGCAGCAGCAGTACTGGCAGCAGCAGCAGCAGCAGCAGCAGCAGCAGCAGCAGCAGCAGCAGCAGCAGCAGCAGCAGCAGCATCCAGAAATGAGAGTGGGGGGGATTCGACAGGCGTGCGTCAGTAGCTGCGACCGCTGCTGGCTCGTTGGCGTCTCCTGCTGCATGCAACCCATGCTTTTCTGTGCACGGTATGGCTGGCAGGAATCTCAGGGTAGCCCAATGCTGGCTCCGCCTGCGCCCTCGCGCCCGTGTCTGGCCTGGACTGGTCCCCACAACACCCGCCACAGGCCGGCAGTGCACACTTGCGATTGCGTCTTTTCCGGCCTCACGGATCTTGTTAGTTGCTGCAGATGACATATATGCCCGAGTGGAGGGCCCTTGGCGCTCAGCCTCCTGTGTCGAAGGCTGCAGGTTTGCCCGCACGGGTCGTTGCCTGACGGATGGCACATGGGGCGGTTGACCACCTGGTTGTCGCGGCAAGCACAAACACAGCATATGATTAAGTGCATCATCAGGGCTGGCAACGGTTTGACAGGCAGCGGCAAGCCTGGTCTCAGTCTCAGGGTGTGCTGATGTGTCCGTGACCCCGTCATCGAGTGTGCAGCAGTCACTAGGCTGTCTTCAGGTGTGGATCATCCGTGCACCTCCCAGATGAGGCCACCGATCGTCATTGTCACTGGATTGCAGAACTGAAGTGTTTACACCGGCCTCAGCGGCCTGCTCGTCAGCCTCAGCATTGATGATCAGGGGGATATCAAGCTGGCAGGGGCTCATCAGCTCTCCCGCACAATATGCAGAAAGTAGCGCTTTATACGCGGACGCTCGGACCTGAGGATGTCGCCACTACAAGGGCCTGGGTGGGTGCCGGGTGTGCCAACGCGATTTGCCGTTGTACCTGCTGTGACAGCTCGGCAAGTGCGTGCGTGAACCGGGAGTTGCACGTCGACATGTTCCAACGATCGGACATGGCTGGGACACACCGGGACCTCGGGTTGCTCTCTGCCGCCGCGGCAGGCGCACGCCGGCGCCCCGCCCCCCCGCCTTGGACATGCCTACGCGCCAGCCTGGACCCCGCCTCAATGGGACGACCTGCGGCCGACGACGAGCGGCCAGAGGATCTCCGTGGCATCTTATAACATTCTGGCAGGTGCGGGGTGCGACACGGCTACACAAAACGCAGGGCAAATAACTTCCGGCGTAGTGTACTTCCGGCCAGCAAAGCGCCAGCCTTGCCGCGCCCCCGCGCCTCGCGCCAGCTGCCGAGAGACCTTTCTAAGCAGTCCTCACACCCCGCTGCGGCCCGGCGCGACCCCCCCCCC